AGCTACACAAATTGTATCAAATTGGCAATATACGCACGCACCTTTCATCATCTGCCGATCGCCGGGTGTGTGCGTGTCTGCCGCAGTCCATGTGACAGCCTTGCGCCAACTCTGAGAGAGCAAAAAAAAGAGAGGAATAGAACAGTAAAGGTTTTGTGTTGGCATATACTACGTCAATTTATATGTGCTCAAATGTACTTCTTATACGTCCCTAAGATCAATATAGGTACACCCGAATTTAGGTATATAGAATCATATATCCATTTAGATTTGTGTAGAGTAAAGCAAAGTCGAGTTGAAGACACTCCAGTTCCTGCGTTCATTATATACTTCTTCGAGCCAGCTAAGCATTCTCTCAAAGCAATACTAATGTGCTTGATCCGCAATATATATATATATATATATATATATATACTACCACACCACCACACACACACACCCACACACACACACACACACACACATATATATATATACATATATATATATATATATATATATATATATATATATACATAGATACATATATACGTAAATACGTAGATACATACATAGATACATAGATATACACACACACACACACACACACATATATATATATATATGTATACATATATATATATATATATATATATGTGTGTGTGTGTGTGCGTGTGTGTATATGTACATATATGTGTGCACAAGGTTATGTCAAGGGGCGGGTAAAGTTAAAGGATTCGCTTGAGCCCTCGATACGCGTGCTTGACTGTAATAGGCGTTGCTTTTACAAGCGAGGAATATATGCAGGACGTATACGCTTGATGTGTGCACAACCCTGTTACAAGCAGCCCAAAACTGTAGGTGGAGGAACAAGCTGTTCACGTTCCTAAATACACTTCTATCTGTCAAGACCGCTATGCGTGTGCACTACTCAAGTATGCAACCCGCCGTACTAGGTTTTAATACATGTACATAATTATATACACTTACCCCGGTATTCATGTATCCATATGTACATTGTTTATTTTACCTGTTCCAGTTCCGTGCGGAATTGGCTCTTGCAGCGGATAAACTCGCTCTTGAGGGCCTTGAGAATGCGCCTGTCGGCAATTTGGCTGTCGGGGTCGTACGCAATCGCCGCAAGTGCCGTAGAGATCTCTCCCACCGTTTGTGCTCGTTCGAGAAGGGCCGCTGGTCTAAAAATAGAAATCAAAACTAATGTATGAGCGGATACTATGCAGCCGATTGGAATAAACCATATCATGTAGATGTACATATATTGAAACATACAGCTATCGCTGGGCGCGTTCATGTGAGGCGGGACCCCGATCTAAATGTAGAAGAAAGACCTGTGATTGCTATGGCAACGAGTTGGGCTCAATAGCAGCCCGAATGTATACACATCATTATTTTCCGTTGTATGAGCTTTTTGAGGGAGGCTGCTGACTAAAATCTTAGCTTTAAAGCAGAAATATGTGTGATTGTCAGCGCAAGTCTCGAACAAAAAACTATAACCCACAACGTACAGATAAAACTATAACCATCTTTTGGTCCCGATATAAAACGAGTGTCGGGTCGCCTCAGCCACTACACTCACACGTCACCTAAATGGATACTATATTATGTTCTAGGGATATCTTATACAAGGCGTGCCAGTTCTAATGTTTAGTTCACATCACATCGAGGATACAAACTATGATTTCACACCTCGCAACATATCACCTACTTACTATAACTACGAGTACATGTACACTGCATGTCTTTTTGAATACATACGCTTTAAAGCGGAAGAATGTGTGATTGTCAGGGCAAGTCTCGGCCAATAAGCTATAAACCACGACGTACAGATAAAAGTATAACCATCTTTTGGCCCCGACAGGTCGCCTCAGCCACTACACTCACACGTCACCTAAATGGTTACTATATTATTTTCTAGGGACATCTACTACAAGGCATGCCAGTTCTAATGTTAAGTTCACATCACATCGAGATTATAAACTATGATTTCACACCTCGCAACATATCACCTACTTACTATAACTACGAGTAAATGTACACTGCATGTCTTTTTGAATACATACTCTTTCGGATGCATCTAGCAGTAACAACCGACGCAAAAAGGCACGATACAGGTACGTATGCGTATATGTGCACAACAATATGCACCTATGAACGTACCCAGCTTCAGATGACTCAAGCAATAGCAGTTTTTCATGTATGCTACACAGGTGTTGCAATACGTTCGTGATGCTTTGTGAACGCGTTAAGCGCACAACCGCCTTATTCTTTTCCTCTTCGGATATACGCAGTTCATTCTCAGCTGATGTAAGCTTGTCCTTCATGTCTCTTAGTCTATTAGATTGTAGAGGGGGGGGGATTAAAGAGGTAAATACCTAACTCTGTAATTAATATAAATATATACATAAAATGGTACATATACACAAATGTGTAGACTGTCAATCATATCGATTATTCGAGATAATGCAGAGTAGGGGGGGGGGAAGGAGCAGCTGAATGCCCACTAGTTGTATACTGGTTTATGAGCTGGTAATGAAATATACAAAAGCATCCGATTGGACGTACAATGTGTTCTCAATCTATAAAGAAGAGGTGAATGCCTAATACTTTGATCACTGGATGTCTAGTAAAGTACAAAATAGTCGACAACATCCATTAGACTCGAGTATGTACTTGTACATCTGCCATGTTGCCATCTTCCCGGTTAACAAAAACTATACTTATATAAAGGGCTGATATGAGCTTAAAAATATTCTTAGCTTTCACTTACTGGTGGCGCACTTTTTTGATCTCGTTCTCGAGTCCCTCACTGAAGTCGTACGACACCTCCAGCTCGTCGTAGTGCCTAGAGATGACATCATACACACGTCCCTTGACATCCTCAATATTCGCATTGATCTTAGGCAAAAAAGAGGCTATCTGAGCCGGAGAAAGCCACTCACTTTCGCTGGCCCCCATCATGGCTTTCTACCCAGATGGCGAGATGCTCAATATCTGACCCTGGAGTTATTTTCCAGCGTATAAAGGAAAAGAAGTTAGTTTGCATAAGTAAACACAAATTCGTTTACATATAAATCTCGATATGTACAAGTATGACGATTCTGAGAAATATACTAGTAGTAAACATTGATTTTCGCCACCACTGGCACATGCAAGCAAATGGCAAACATACGTATTTCTATATGAATATACATATGCATATATGTTTGTGTATATATATAAATATATTATTAC